ACTCAGCACAAAAGTTAAAATCATACAAGCCATTGTATTCCTTATTACAGGGGTAGGCAATCTTTTTGAGCTCGGGGCCGGGTTGCTGTCCCTCAGACAATTGGCGGGCCGAAGCCAAATAATAAAATAATAAAAATAATAAAAATAAAATAAAATAAAATTTAAAAATATGCATGCACACTCTCTCAGCCCCAGAAAAGCCACGATGGCAAAACCCCGTGGAGATTTTGCCAAGAAAACCCCAAGAACAAGTAATAACAACAATAATCAATATCATCATGGCGGGGGGGCAGGACTGGCCTGGGGCCGGTTCAAAGGCCTCATGGGGCCGCATCCGGCCCCCGGGCCGCAGGTTGCCTACCCCTGCCTTATTACCATATATGGATGTGAGAGCTGGACAGTTAAGAAAGATGATAGGATGAAAATCAATTCATTTGAGATGTGGTGCTGGAGAAGAATGCTGATGATCCCATGGACAGCCAAAAGGACAAACAACTGGATTCTAGAGCAGATCAAATCAGAAGCCTCCCTGGAAGCCAAGATGACCAAACTGAGGCTATCATACTTTGGACAAATCATGAGAAGAGAGGACTCTTTGGAAAAAAACAATAATGCTGGGGAAGGTGGATGGAAGTAGGAAAAGAGGAAGGCCACATGCTAGATGGATGGACTGCATTAAGGAGGTTACAGATATAGGGTTGCAGGAATTAAGTAGAGCAGTGAAGGACAGAGGGTCTTGGAGATGTCTCATCCATAGAGCTGCCATGAGTCGAGATTGACTCGAAGACAGTTAACAACAAAGTTAACAACAAAACCCCTTCAATCTACACAGTAATAGTGTTATGATTCCACTCTAATTGCTGGGATTGGAATTCTAGGAAAGGACAATCAGAATTCTTAGCCAGAGAGCTCTACTGGTGGCACAGTGGGAGCCTTGGTGGTACAGTGGTTAAATGCCTGTACTGCAGCCACTCACTCACAAACTACAAGATTGCAAGTTCAATACCAGCTAGGGGCTCAGGGCTGACTCAGCCTTGCATCCTTCCAAGGTTGCTAAAATCAGTACCCAGCTTGTTGGGGGCAATTAGCTTACACTTTGTAAAACACTT